CAGCAGCCCTTCCTTCCTGGGGGTCCCCCCTTCCCAACAGCCCTTCCTTCCTTCCTGGGGATCCCCCCTTCCCAACAGCCCTTCCTTCCTTCCTGGGGATCCCCCCTTCCCAACAGCCCTTCCTTCCTGGGGATCCCCCCTTCCCAACAGCCCTTCCTCCCTGGGGATCCCCCCTTCCCAACAGCCCTTTGGCACCTTGGGGTGCCCCCTCCCTTGGGGTGCCAGCTCCCTTGGGGCAGTCCCTGCTGCTTGTAGGGGCAGAGGAGGTGAGGAGCAATTCCCAGGCTGTTAGGGACGTGTCCCACTTCTCCTGGATCCCATTCCCTTGCTCAAACATCAGGCTGGAACCTCAGCACAGCCTGGACCTCCCTGCCTAGACCCACCCCGTGAGGTTGGGGGGGGCTCCATCTCCCCATCCCCAAGTGACACTGAGGGGTGACAAGGGCAGCAGATCCTTTTAGGAGGAAGGAGAAGCATTTGGTGTCCCTCAAAGGGAGCAGGGGGGGACACATCATGTCCATGGAGCTCCTGCCCCCACCACCCACCTTCCTCAGGAGTGTAGATGTAGGAACGTAGATAGGTCTGGACCTTGGAGAGGAGGTTCTCTTCTATCTTGGTGGAGCTGGAGGAGGAAGGGGAGGGTGAAATGGGTCATCCCTCAGGAGCAGGGACCTTCTCCCCCCCCTCCCTGTGCAGGCAGGGCTGGCACAGGAAGGTGCCCTCCTTACCTCCCCTTCCCAGGGCGTTTGGACAGGATGGCCTTGAGGTACTTCTTGTAGTAACTTCTCCCTGTCACCTGGAGGAGAGCAGCCCTGGCTGGTCGTGATGGGAGCCCAGCAAGAGGTGGCCAGAGCATCTGCAGCCCACCTGGCAGCCAAGCTCTGCCAGCACCCTGCCCCCCCCCCCAGCACCCCCCAACAAGTGGGTGAGGGGCTCCCATCTCCCATCTGGCTCCTCCACGTGGTGCTGGCACCACCAAACCTTCTGGCACCACCAGGGTGGAAAGAAATCTGCCTCGTGCCCAACAACAAACCAGCCACACCAGTGCTGAAAACCTCCTTCCCACCAGTAAGAACCTGGGGGTCACTTCAGTCCATCCTTGGGCTGACAACCTGGTTGTGTTGGGGTGGGTTGTTTTTTTTTTTGGCAAGGAGGTTTGTTTTTGTGTCCTCTCTTCCCAGCAAAGCCCCTCATTTCCCCAAAGGCCAGGGGATTATCCAGCCTACTGGGCAAACAAGGTGACCCCAGTCCCAGTTTGAATGGGAAGCATTGATGCCTTAATCCTCTTGTCCTAAGGAGTTTACTCCAAAGATGGGATTTTTTTTTCTTTCACTCCCTCTCCAAATCCAGGGAGATAAACAGAGCCAGGACTCGTGCCACCAGAGAGCTCCTGGTGCCAGAGCAAACTGGGCAACACCTCCCCCAGTCCTCCCAGTTCTCCCAGTTCCCCAGGCAGGCAGTTGGGCTGCAGGGCAAGGAAGCCACGATCCATCCCACGCCACCCCCAGCACCATGCAGGTCCCTCCAGGGGTTCGCCCCCCCATCATGTCACCACCCCTCCAGTTGCCCCCCAGGTCTTCATCACCTCCTTCTCCAAGGCCTCCTCCTGCGTGGTGAAGCTCCTGATGAGTAGGGCTGGGTACCAAAGGCTCAGGAGCACAAGACAGAGGATGATGGGGATGTAAGAGAGGATGGAGTAGTACTTGTAGATCTGGGGAGAGGCAGAGATGTCACACCCACAGCTTGGGGGGGTCTCACCCTGGGCAGGTGACACCTTCACACCACTTCAAGGAGGAGATGAGAAAGCCACCTGGGCAGCACTGGCCTTCCCTGCTCCTTCTCTGGGTGGTGGGACCTGTACCTTGGGTGACTGGGGACAATCCAGCTGCTGCCAGATGTGGATGGTGCAGTGAGACCAGGAGAGCAGGCAGCCCAGCAGGTAGCTGACCCTGTGCCTGATGGTGGCACAGGCAACCAGGGGGTAGTAGAAGGCAGGGTAGTAGAGCAGAGCCAGGATCTTCCAGTACTCTAGGGTGGGATGGTGGGATGAGAGGAGAACAAAACGGGCGAGATGAGGCAGAGCTCTCAGTAGGGACCAGAGTGAACAGGCTGGGGAGGAGCCCACGGGTGGGCCCAGGAAGGGTGCTCAGCTTACCCCGGGTGCTCTGGGAGGAGGGGGCCATGAGGGGCAGAGGGTCCTTGTCCAAGAGCAGGATGCAGAGGGAGGAGAACAAGATGCCAAAGACGGCGGCCACCAGCCCTTGGTTGCCTTCCTCCTCCAGGAAGTTGGCCGGGCTGCAAGGCCAAGGCAGGGCTGAGCCCCCACCCTGGGCACCCTGTCCCCACTGCCCTCCACCCCTCGAGCTGCTTGCAGCCACTTGGGGACCCTGGGGACAAGGGGGCAGGTACCTGAGCAGTCCTGGGACACCCTTCCAGCAGCTTCGGTGGAGACGCCTGCGTTTCACCAGCAAGGACAAGGCTGCCAGCACCACCAGCTGCCAGGAACCCCATGGAGGGAGGAATAAACACGTGGGGACTCGTTGGGGGGGATGCTCAGACACCCTGCTCCACCATGGGTGGACACCAGCTCCATCCAACCCCCTAAATCCAGCCCTGGCCCAAGCAGGGACAGGCCCTTCTCAGCCTCCTCTGGTGAGTTTCTGGGATCTAAAGGCCCCTCCAGGAGGGAAAACCATCACTGGGGGAAAACCAACCATCCACCCAAGCCTTGCTCAGGTCTGAAAGGAAGCCTGGAGCTGGGCAGGTCCCTTGGTGGGGCAGCCCAACTCCAAACTTGGCAGCCCAACTCCAAACTTGGCAGCCCAACTCCAAACTCGGTTCCAGCTCAGGCTGAAGAGCCCAGACTTGGCATCTGGGAGGAGATGGGCATGACCTGAGCTGGGAGAGGGGGGGGTAGGGACAGCAAATATGCCAAGCTGGGGCAGGTAACCCACCCTGTGGGCCTCAGCAGGTACTTACAGAGATGGGAGCCATGCAGGTGTGATAAAGCCTGGGAGAAATGGTGGGGTCACAGGCTGGGATCACGGTGGGGAACATGCTGGGGAGAGTGGGGGGGGAAAAAAACACAACACAACAACCTGATGTCTGGGTGGCTTTAGTCCCAAGGGGGCAAAGTGAAGGTGCTGGGGGTGACACCCCCATGGCTGTGGAGGTGGTGGAGGTGTCAGGCTGGGGAGGGGCAAGGCAGGGAAGGGCTGGGCTGCACAACCCTTGATAGGCAGGGGTGAAATCACCCTCACGAGACAACGTGGTGCTCCAGTGAGCCAGATAACAGCTGGGCTGGCCCTGAGATGATCTCCACAGGGGCTGGGCCACCTCCCTGCACGTCCAAGGGGACCAGCAAGGAAGGATGGAGCCTCCTCCTTTATCCCTTTGACACCCACATCTGTCCCAGCTCTCTCTTTTCCAGGGGTGCAGCCTGGGGAGCAGCAGTTCCCTTGGCTTCCTGGGCTCATTTCATGGCAGCTGAGAAGCTCGAGACCCTTTGTAGTGGGTTCCAAGGCTTTTCTCACCAGGAAAGGGAGAGGGACCAGCCCCAGAGCTGGGGAACGATGGAGCTGATGGCTCCACAGGGTTGGGGAGGAGCCCAAGTCCACGTCCCCTGGCCAGCCAAGCAGAGGAGCCAGGCTTTGCTTCATGGCTTTGCTCTCTGGCCTCCATCCCAGCCCTTGGGCTCTGCTTCTGCAGCCCAAGGCCAGACCCCCCTGTGCCCAGCCACCTCCAGCCAACACTGGGCAGCAAATCCCTGGGCTGGGGGGCTGAACCCTCTGAGCCCCATAACTGGCAGGGGGAAGGAACCCCCTGAACCCCATAACTCACTGGAGGAACCCCCTGAACCCCAAAACTCACAGGAGGAACCCTTTGAGCCTGATAACTTGCAGGAGGAACCCCCTGAGCCCCATAATTTGCAGGGGGAACCCCCTGAGCCCCATAACTCAGAGAAGAAACCCCCTGAACCCCATATCTTACAGAAGGAACCCCCTGAGCCCCAGAACTTACAGAAGGAACCCCCTGAGCCCCATAACTCCCAGGAGGAGGAACCCCCTGAACCCCAGAACTCCCAGGAGGAACCCCCTGAGCCCCATAACTCCCAGTAGGAACCCCCTGAACCCCATAACTCCCAGGAGGAACCCTCCCACGGGACTGAGAAGCACCAAAACCTCCTTTTGGCATCACCAGGGCCTCAACACCTACATCCAGAGCAACCTGGGGGTTGTCAGACAAGCCAACCCCCTGGTGCTGCCTCCATCCCTTCCCTGCCTGCTGGAAGGAGGACACACAAGGAACACCCCAAAGGTTTCTAGCAGAGCTTTGGGTGGGGCAAGCAGGGCTGGGCAAGGAGATTTCAAAGGCTGGTTTGCAACAGGGACCATGAAGGACAAGGAGGGTTGGTCCCTTTGGGTTGGTCCCCACTGGGATCTCCTCCTTCTTGCCCTCAAGATTAGGTATCAGGCAAGTGGGTGGCATAAAACTCCAGCTCAGAGTCAACAGAGGGACAATAGATGCTGAGGGATGGGCCTTGGGACACCCCTTTTGGAGCCACCTTGAAGTCCCCGTGTCACTCTGTGCCTCAGTTTCCCCTCCCTGTAGCACTAGTGAAGGGCACTCAGGGAGGGGACCACCTTGCTGGGCTCCTGTTCCTGGGGCAAACACAGCCCTGACCTCGGGAACACACCCAGCTCAGGAGCAGGATTCATGGATGGAGAGGAACCAGGCTTTACTGGGGCACCAGTTTGGGGGGGGGGGGGGGGAGAGGAAGCAGGCAACCAGACATCCATGCAAGCCCAGGAGGGCTGAGCTCTTCCCAGAAGCACCTTCAAGAGGTGAAGCACTTTTGGGTGGCCTTTGTCCCCCATCACCAGGGGAAAACCCTGGCTCTGCTGCTGGGAGGACGTTGCTCTGCAGGCAGGGGGTGCAGCAACTGGGTTGGAAGCTGCCCAGGGTGACCCCAGCAGGGATAAAGTTGGGGTGGGGGGGGGACAAACACACACTTACTCTTCCTGAGAGGTGGCTGGTTCCATGGTTTCATAGATGTACCAGTCAGACAGGTCATCAGCACCCACCAAGGTGTTGTCCAGCAGAGCATCCTGTGTCCCAGCAGAGCCATTGGCTGCCATGGTCACCTCCTTCTTCCCTCCTGGGGCTGGGGAGAGATGGGGAGAGGCAGAAGTTCTCCAAGGTGGATCCTCCTGAGCTCTTGGGAACTCGAGAGGTTTTATCTTCTCAGCTCCCCCAGGTTGGGCTGGCCAAGGAGCTTTCAAAATCCAGTTTGGCCTCCAAGGCTCCAGCTTTTATCTGGGCTCAGAGGGAGGGAGAAGGGCTGGACAACCCCCCTCCCTGCTCCCTCAGGGCACACCTCATTGTCTCCCCGGTGCTGATAGAGCCTTTGTTTGGGTTGGGCAAGAGGAGTTTTTTAAGCCAAGGACTCAAAAAGAAAAAAACCCCAACAACCCAAAACAACCAGCACAAGGGTCAAGTTTCAGGCTTGGTGGCATCTGGGCTGGGATCTCAGCCTGCCTGGGGAGTCTGTGACCCATCCCAAGGCTCCTCCATCCCTCCTTGCCACCCTGGGCAGCTTCCAGCCTCCCCCAGCCCCAGGAGGACACCTCAGCCCCTCTCCCCCCTGCAGCAACCAGGAGGAGGAAGGACCTGTCCTGGTGCCAGACCCAACAAACTCTCTCCTTCTCCCCATCCTTTTTTTGATGACTTTGGCCCAGACAACCCCACACCCTCTGCTATCCCAGAGCTAACCTTGCTGTGGGACAGGCAGTGCCCAAAGCTGCCCCCAGATCTGCTCAGGGCAGCCCCCAAACCCCAGGAACCAGCCCAGGAGCTGAGGACACCTCATCCCACAGCTCAGGGATGTCACCCAGCAAGGAGGTCACCCCTCAAGGGCTGCTTGGTGGCCCTGAGGGGATGGGGAGGACATGGATGAGTGAGCCAGCAGCTTGGCTGTTGGGACAGCTG